TCTCTGTGTCTCTCTCTGTGTCTCTCTCTGTGTCTCTCTCTTTGTCTCTCTCTGTGTCTCTCTCTGTGTCTCTCTCTGTGTCTCTCTCTGTGTCTCTCTCTGTGTCTCTCTCTCTGTGTCTCTCTCTGTGTCTCTCTCTGTGTCTCTCTCTGTGTCTCTCTCTGTGTCTCTCTCTGTGTCTCTCTCTGTGTCTCTCTCTGTGTCCTTCTCTGTGTCTCTCTCTGTGTCTCTCTCTGTCTCTGTGTCTCTCTCTGTGTCTCTCTCTGTGTCTCTCTGTCTCTGTGTCTGTGTGTGTCTGTGTGCCTGCGTGTGTCTGTGTGTGTCTGTGTGTCTCTTTGTGTCTCTGTGTGTCTCTGTGTGTCTCTGTGTGCGCGCGCTTGTGCGCGCACCTGCGCGCGCGCCCATGTGCGCGTGTGCGCCTGCGTGCACGCGCGGGTAGGCGCGTGCGCGCGTGCGTGCGTGTGAGTGTGTGGGCGCGCGGGCGTGCAACCGTGCGCGCGTGCGCGTGCGCGTGCAAGAGCGTGCGTGCTTGCGTGCGTACGTGCGGGAGAAACATGGCTCCTGACCTCCTGCTCGACACACGACGCCCGACGCACGACACACGACGCGCGACGCAGCAACACACATCGCATCACACAAGCGCATCGCATCACACACTCACACCACACATCACGCAACCCCACACACAAAAGCCAGGCATTCACAGTGAACGCCTTGTTATGTAAGTTGACTGCATGTCCTGGACCTTCGCTCCAGCTTCGCTTCGCCCAGGTGGTTTCTTCACGCCTCAGGTGTTGGATCTCCCCCACCTCGCCTTCCGCACCGCGCGCCTGGTGGTTGGTTCAAGCTAGCGCGGCTGAAGAGGCTGCTTCGCCATAGTGTGCCTGCTGTGTGTTTGCTTAGCATAGTGTGAATCATCGCGATCCACGTGCCGAGCCACTCGATCTACACGCGCGATCGATCTACACGCGCGACATGATGGCTGGCAAGATCACGGGGCAAGGAGAACCTGCCCTGCTGAGAAGAGCCTGAAATTGCGCGCATTTGCGGCAAAGCCACTGACACAAAGCTCTGTGCGTGTGCAGCTTGCTGCCCCGAGAAAAACAACGCGCGTCAAAACATATGACAAAGTAATGATTACACTACTTGATCCCAATCAGCCTGCCTATATGCTTCCGGCCGCCAATCCTCTAGTTTTTGTTTTTTCGGCTTGCCCGAAGCAAGCCAAAAAACAAAAGACAGATCCTGAAGGGGCAAATTTGGCTTGCCTGAGCGCCCGGGCTTGCTTGTCGAGTCAGACATCGGAGTGCAAGCGCAGGAGGCGCAAGCCTTGTCTTGTCATGTTGCCAAATGGAATCGTTTGTGCGACAAAAGTTGCGCAGGTTGGTTTCCTGTATAAATAGCACTCTACTACTCTAAGAGTACGTCTGGCGTCCTTATCTGCCGAGTCGGCCCAAGAACGTATGTTCCCACAACAGCGGTGAGCAAAAAAAACACCTCGGTCTTCAAATTTGAGATTGTTGTCCTGGGCAAGGAAGGTATGCCTCTTGCCCAACCATGGCAACTCGCCAATGGTCAAGGAACTGGCAAACCGTGAAAACTGATCAAGCATCGCTTTTTGAACAAAGCTAACAAATTGGCTGACTCCAGCTACATGGATTCTTCAGGTGATTGAGGACGAACGTGCTTGGACGCGCGAAGCATTTTCGCTTAGTCTAGTTTGAACATCACTGAACCACACTTTGGCAGGTGTCTCACCTACTACGCTAGTCAGCCAATCTTTTTCCTCAAAAAGGGGCAGCGTCAACGGTTCTAGATCCCAACGCCTGGATCACGAATGCATTGATAGAATTGGCGCAAACCGCAATTGTGGTGTACTGCGCTACTACTGCACGACCTACTGCACTACTGTTCATGTCTTGCAGCTAGAACAATGAGTCTTGTGTTTCGCGAAGCGCGCACAATTTCCCGTTTTTCAAGCGCGCTTTCTTTGCTTTTGCTGTTTCGGTTCTTCGCTCTGCTCGCTTGCTTGCTGCGGCGCTGCTGCTGTGCTTTGCCGTGCTGTCTGCCTAGCGACGGCCCGAAGCTTGAGGTCAGCAGCTGCCTTGTCCGGAAGCTTTCGTTTTGCTTTTGCGCCGCCCAGAGATGTGGGCTCGGCTGCTTGTCTAGAAAAGGTTCAGGCGCCAAGGCCGCCAGGGGCGGGGCATGTAATTGACTGTCGGGTGCGCGCGCGGGGCGACACGCTTAATTAGGCCTGTTCTCTTTTGACCTTGGGCCCGCGCTTCCAGCTGATGTTCAACGGTTTTCGGCCCATGTAGTTGGATCGTCGCCCTGCGGACGACGTGCGTTTGCAGCGCTGCCCTGCATCGAGGGAACCATTCAGGAAGAGCTCATACTTAGCCGAGGATTGTTCGGAGTAACTTGTCTTTGCGCCTTTGAACGGGAAAAAACAGGAAAGTGTGATGGGCACAGATGCCCCGTCTCGGAGTCTTTTTACAACCCCCAGCTTGGGTCACGAATGCGTGGACTTTAAGGCGGGGTGCGTTTTCGGGAGCGTTGATTGTGTTTTTGTACAAGATTCTGCGGGCACCCTGGTATTCAATGACCGAAGGACGCATGAGCGCCCAACCCTACAGTGGGCAACGGCATGTTCGATCCAGCGCGAAAGCACGCACAAGGGCTCCCAACTTCAAAACCTACAAGAAGCGTCCAAACCCTGAAAGAATGGCTCGCCCGTCTTTCTACCAGGTGGCGTCGCTGAGGAAGGCTCTCGAAACTTCTGCGACAGACTTCCAGCAAATGGCGGAGGAGTCTTGCCCTGCCGCGAGGTCATTTGATTGGCTGGACATAGCTGTAGATATATGGAGGTGAAGCCAACCCTTCTGGGGCCCCTATTTTGTGCGCTCACAAAATCTTCGTGTTCCCAAACCTGGTTTTGCGGCCGTCTTGGAAGACCAACGTACCGACTTGAAACGGAATTCACCTGATGCGTTATTCGTGGGTTCGATGAACAAGGATGCAACCTTCAACCAACCAGCATGAAAATACCGCTATGAAGCAACGCCTATGAATCTGATTGATTTCACAGAGCGAACGCCACCCCGTTGCATGTTTGCGCGGTTGAACCCAACAAGGCCACTGTGACAATCAGCCAGACGACTGCGGCGCTCTGTGTTTGGCGAGTTTGTGGCTGCGATGCAGCCACCGCTGAAAAGCCGTATTTAGCCCGCAGGACGCTGCAACATCAGCAGCTCAAAACGCAGAGTCTCTACTGCGCACCAATCTTAGGCAGTTGGCTCCAGAAAGAGTTGGATTTGCAAATCACAGCTGTCTCCTCCCACTGAAAACCCAGAGATGGTTGTGTGCCTTCATAATTCAAAGTCTCTGAAATTACGAGACACAACGCGACCGTGGGACCCGCTTCTGTTTCTCGCATTTGTCGCCCCTTGCTTGGCGCAGACAAAAAGCCGAGGCTCAGCAGAACGAGGCTTGACCGAGAAGTTCCAGGCTGCGGTGGACCATGTTGTGAGCCCAGTTTTTTGCCAGAAGCAATCCACCATTGAGCTGAGCATGGAGGCTGGAAGCAGACACTTAGAGCGACCGAGTTGCTGAGGCGCTTGACCAACGGGAGCACCTGTCTTTCTTGGCACGCCGGTGGCTGAGAACTTAAGTGAATTCGCAAGATGCCTACAGCATGGGCTCGGGCCTGAGGTTTCAGCTTGCTACGTGCTTTCATTGAAAGCCCCCTTGCAGTCAAGTCGCAACCCATCCATCTGCAAGTCCAGCGTCGGGGGTGGCACTTTCAAGGCGATGCAGTCGAAGACCGCCTAAGACGGGAGCTGCGTGCGTATTCAGAGGCGGACTGTCTTTGGCCTGGAGAATGTTTGGGGGGGCGGATGGGCGACCTGGCAGTGGCCGCAAAGTATGGGCAGGCGTATGGCAGCAAATGTGAGTTATGTGTGTGTGTCTCTGCGTGCGTGTTGCGTGTCTCTGTGTGCGTTTGCGCGTGCGTCTGTGCGTGGGTGTCAGTGGGTCAGCGCGCGCGTGTGTGCGTGTAGTCTTCGCCTGTGTGCGTGTGGGTGCGCGTGTGTGGGTGTGCGTGCGTGTGTAGTCCATGTGTTTGCGCGTTTTTGCGTGTTTGTGTGGATGCGTGTGTGTGTTGTGTGTGTGTGTGTGTTTCTGCGTGCGTGTTTGTGTGTGTGTGTGTATGTGTACGTACACTTGTGTTTGTGTTTGTGATTGTGTCTTTGGTGTGTGTGTGTGTCTGTGTTTGTGGTTTTGCTTGTGTGTGTGCTGGGTGTGTGTGTGTTGTGTGTGCTGTTTGTTTGCTGTTTGTGTGTTTGTGTGTTTGTGTGTTTGTGTGTTTGTGTGTTTGTGTGTTTGTGTGTTTGTGTGTTTGTGTGTTTTTGTGTTTGTGTGCTTGTGTGCTTGTGTGCTTGTGTGTTGGTGTGATTGTTTGTTTGGTTGGTTGGTTGGTTGGTTGGTTGGTTAGTTTGCTTGCTTGTTTGTTTGTTTGTTTGTTTGAAAGTTTGTTTGTCTGTGTTTGTTTTTGAGTTTGTGTCTGTGTCTGTGTCTGTGTTTGTGTTAGTGTTTCTGTATGTGTGTGTCTTCGTGTTTGTGTTTGTGTTCGCTTTTGCGTTTGTGTTTGCGTTTGTGTTTGTTTGTGTTTGTGTGTGTTTGTTTGTGTGTTTGTGTGTTTGTGTGTTTGCGTGTTTTTGTGTGTGTTTTTGTGTGTGTCTGTGTGTCTGTGTGTCTCTGTGTCTCTGTGTGTCTCTGTGTGTCTCTGTGTGTCTCTGTGTGTCTCTGTGTGTCTCTGTGTGTCTCTGTGTGTGTGTGCGTGCGCGCGTGCGTGCGTGCGTGCATGAGCATGTGCATGTGCATGTGCATGTGTGTTTGTCGCTGTGTCTGTGTCTCTTTGTCTCTGTGTCTGTGTGTCTCTGTGTCTCCGTGTCTCTGTGTCTCTGTGTGTCTCTGTGTCTCTGTGTCTCTGTGTGTCTGTGTGTCTCTGTGTCTCTGTGTCTCTGTGTCTCTGTGTCTCTGTGTCTCTGTGTCTCTGTCTCTGTGTCTCTGTGTCTCTGTGTCTCTGTGTCTCTGTGTCTCTGCGTCTCTGCGTCTCTGCGTCTCTGCGTCTCTGCGTCTCTGTGTGTCTGTGTGTCTGTGTGTCTGTATGTCTGTGTGTCTCTGTGTCTCTGTGTCTCTGTGTCTGTGTGTGTCGCTGTGTCTCTGTGTGTCTGTGTCTTTGTGTCTCTGTGTCTCTGTGTCTCTGTGTCTCTGTGTCTCTGTGTCTCTGTGTCTCTGTGTGTCTCTGTGTCCTGTCTCTGTGTCTCTATATCTCTGTGTCTCTGTGTCTCTGTGTCTCTGTGTCTGTGTCTCTGTGTGTCTGTGTGTCTGTGTGTCCGTGTGTCTGTGTGTCTGTGTGTCTGTGTGTATGTCTGTGTGTCTGTGTCTGTGTGTTTTTGCGTTTGTATTTGTGTGTTTGCGTGTGCGTGTGGCGTGTGTGTGTGTGTGTGGTTGCGTCTGTATTGGTGTGCTTGTGGTTGTGATTGTGATTGTGACTGTGTTTGTGTGTGTTTGCGTGCGTGTGTGTGTGTGTCGTGTGTGTCTGTGTCTGTGTCTGTGTTGCGTTTGTTTTTGTGTTTCTGTTTGTGTTTGTGTGAGGGCAGAGAGGGGGGGGGGCTGTGTAATCTTGTCGGGGGCGGGCGGCGCGGAGCTGGAGTGGAGCCGGAGAGGAGCTGGAGCGGAGCTGAGCGGAGCAGAAGGCGGAGGCGGAGGCGGGGCGACAGCAAAGGGCGCAGCGCAGGCTCCGCGCAGACGACGCTGCGACAGAGCCAGCGCGGGGCGTAGGCAGAGCGGAGGCGAAGGAGGGCGGGCTGGAGTGCAGCCCACCCCGCTGGAAAAGCTGCTTAGTCAAGGAAGCTCGCTTGCTTGCAAACGGAAGGGTGGGAAAGCCTGATCGTGAGAACCGAACAACGGCCTTACAAAGAGGCGGGGGGAAGTTAATGCTCGAGGCGCAGCGCCCCCCCCCCCCGAGAAAAACCAGACAAGACTACTGGAGAAAGCTCGCGGTTACAAACTAGGAAGCAGGGATCGTGCCGGCTCACGCCTTTTTCCCAGCAACAATTGCCCCTTCCATTATTGATCGGAAAACCACCTTTTTGCAACCCCGCCTATCCTCATTGTTGTTCGAACACCATCCGCTAGCAAACCCTTTTAGGTGCCCCAGCCAAGCGCAGGTGTCCCCTTTCAACGTGTTTCCGCCCCTCTGCCCTTGGAGCCGTGGATTCATTCCCCCTTCTTCGAGCAACTGCCTGCGCCCTTCCATTAAAACAGTGGATTGCGAACCAGCGCAGCGCCGCAATGGACTACCCCTTCCCCTTGGCTGTTCAATTCTTGTAAGCGCACCAACACCCCCCCTCTCGAAATTACAAGCCCCCTCCCCTCTTTCAAATAACAAGCCCCCGCCCCACCCCTCACCCCTTGCAATTGGGTCGTTCTTTCTTTGTGTCTGTGCTTCGCGTGTATGTCTGTCTGTGTGCGTGTCGTGTGTTGTGTTGTGTGTGTGTGTTGTGTGAGTGTTTTGTGTTCTGTTGTGTTGTGTTGTGTTGCGTTGTGTTGTTTTGTGTTGCGCTGTGTTTTGTGTGTGTGCGATCACTCCCTCTGTCCTACTGTGCGCGGTGGGGGAGGGGGGTGCGTAAACGCACGCGCCTTTCGGCTGCACATTTCCGAGGTGCGCGAAGGAGTCCAGAGGAAAGAGCTTGCACCGGGGGGGGGGAGATGGAGCTCAACATTGTCAAAAGTACACCCAGGTCCCCCCGCCCCTTTTGCCAGTGCACATTTCCGCATTTGCCGGGCCGAGGAAGCGCGCCCGAGGAGGCGTAAAGTATACCTGAAAATGGGGAAGGTCTTATTGGCACACTGCAGGCCCCCCCCCCGCCCAGTTTTCAGTTTTGTGGTGTGTGTGTGTCTGGGTCTGTGTCTTTCTGTGTGTCTGTCTGTGTGGTGTGTGGTGTGTGGTGTGTGGTGTGTGGTGTTTGTGTGTGTGTGGTGTGTGTGTGTGGTGTGTGTGGTGTGTGTGTGTGTGGTGTGTGGTGTGTGGTGTGGGGTGTGTGGTGTGTGGTGTGTGGTGTGTGTGTGGGTGCGTGCGTGCGTAAGCGTGTAAGCGTTAAACCAAAACTTAGCCTCTATAAATAGGGGGGTCTGTCGTTTTCGCCGTACCCGAAAATAAAAGCGTAAACAATCACGTAAATAAATCAAGCTTTCTGGTTGGCCTGGCCCTTAATAGAAAGAGTTCGTAAATGATATGGTACATAGTGAGGTGAATAGTTGTAAGTTGTAATTCATTTTCGCTTGCCCGATCTTGAGTGACCATGCGTGAGCTGGACTTAGTGTCCCTCATGGACAGGGATATGTATTGACGAGAACCTTCCCCTTCGCAAATTTCACCTGCTCACATCACTGAAGGAAGGCAAAGCATCATGAGTCATGAACCATTGGAAGAGCCGCGACATCTTTGACATGAATGTTCATGCGTACTGGTAGCTGCGAGCCACATGTCTTTTTGCTCGCGAGCATGTGTGTCGTTGGCAAAGCAAAAAAGCTCCGGACGCAAAAGCACGTGCGCCCATGCTTGCGCTTGGGTTGGGTTGCCATGCTAACACCCGGCAGCCAGAACCCCCACCAAGATACATGTGTGTTTAGTGATCATGAGAAAGGAGATGCTGTAGGAACCAAGGATTAGGAACACTGCGTCTTGTCATAGAACGTCCGGTATGTCCGGTCATTGGTTATGTCAGCTGCGCGAACAACATTGAGAATATTTGAGGGCTCTTTCCAACAATCAAGACTTAGTCAGCTTATTGTTGGGCGACCTTGCGAGGGCCAATCTTGAAGAACATCAAGATGAACGGACATCTATATTTCTAACATGCACCTGGCGCACAGACACACAGACACCACCCACACACACAAACACACATGCGCACGACTCTTCACGCGGTTGTCTCCGCGTGGCCACTGATCCAACCAGTCAGGAGTTGCAAAGGACGATTAAGCCTTGCCTTCTTGCAGCTTTGCTTGCCGCGTTGTGGTGCTGTCGGGCGTTGTTTTTTCCTCTGCCGCGGCTTCGCTTTCGATGTTCCAATGCCGGCCTGACCTTTGACCTAGGACTAGGAACCGCCAGCCGCGTGCTCACGAACCGTTCCGAGGAACGGTGGCAACCAAACTGCATGCCCCTGAACCGTTCTAGGCATTGAAACGCGTGCCCCTGAACCGTTCTGAACCGTTCGGGGGCATTGGAACCCATGCCCCTGAACCGTTCTGAGCCGTTCTGAAGCCCGTCTAGCAAGCAGCGCGCAGAGCAGGCGTATAGTACAAAACCGCTCTGAACCGTTCTGAACCGTTCGTCCCTCAAGCCTCCCAGGAACCGTTCTGAACCGTTCAGGAGGGATTGCAGCATCATACTATGAACCGTTCTGAACCGTTCAGGAGGGATTGCAGCAGCATACCCTGAACCGTTCTGAACCGTTCGGAGACATTGGAGCTGCGTACCTAGGAACCATTCCGAAGATTGCAACTGCATGCTCAGGAATTGCTCTTGCTTCTGCTCACGCATGCGTAGGCTTACCAACCACGTGTTTAAGACTTAAGATGTTTGGCCTCCTAACATTTCTATGGTAGCTGCTAAGGATTTAACAAAGATCATTCAATCAACACCTTGGGCGCTTGTTGCGGAGATGGGAGGGGCGCGTTGGAGCCTTACCTTCTTCTTGCCAATATTGTGCCATTGGCTTGTCTGATTATGCGCCTTTTATCTCTGTTCGCCTGTTTTTGTTTACCTTACTGGTGTTTAAGCGAGAAT